CAGGGGGCCAGAGGTCACCAAGGTAGAGAAGGTGGCTGAGGTTCCAGAGGCCACTCATGCGAAGGCGGTAGCCAAGGGGCCAGAGGTCACCAAGGTAGAGAAGGTGGCCGAGGTGCCAGTGGCCACTAAGTGGAAAAGTAGGCTGAAGTCCAGGAGGCCACACAGCTGAAGGAAAAAGATGAGGTACCCCAGGAAAGAGAGCCAGATGAGGTGAATGGGGTCTCCCAGGATAGACAGATGTATGAGGTAAGTGAGGTCCACCTGGACAGACAGATGGATGAGGTGAATGGGGTACCCCAGGACAGACAGATGGATGAGGTGGATGGGGTCCCTCAGGACAGACAGATGGATGAGGTAGATGGGGTCCTCCAGGACACCTTGATGAGGTGAATGGGATCCCCCAGGACAGACACCTGGATGAGGTGGATGGGGTTCCACATGACAGACAGGTGGATGAGGTTGAGGTACCTCAGGACAGACACCTGGATGAGGTGGATAAAGTCCCATAGGAGGTGCGGCTGGAGGAGGTGCTGGAGGTCCCACAAAACAAACAGTTGGAAGACATGAAGGAAGTCTCAGAGGACACTCAATTGCTGGAGGTGTGTGTGGTTTCAGAAGATCACCAGCTGGAGAAGATGGTGGAGATACCAGAGAGCACTTGACTGAAGGAGGTGACTGTGGTCTCAGAGAATCTTCACTTGGAGAAGATGGTTGAGGTGGCACAGGACATTGGAGTGAAGTAGGTTGTTGAAGTCCCAGAGGACATGTGAGTGAAATAGTAGGTTGAGGTTCCAGAAAATGCTCAAGTGCTGGAGCTGCCTGTGGTCTCAGAAAGTCACTAGCTGTAGAAGATGGTAGAGGTCACAGATTACGCTCAGGTGGCCATGTATGTGGGCTCAGAAAATCATCAGCTTGAGATGGTCATAGAGGTATCAGAGAACACTCAAGAGGAGGTGTGTGAGGCCTCAGAACATCTTCAGCTGGAGACAGTGGTAGAGATACCAGAGGACACTCAGATTGAAGTGTGCTGGGTCTTAGAAAATCTTCAGCTGAAGATGGTGGTAGAGGTACTAGAGTACACTCAGGTGGAGGTGTCTGTGGTCTCAGAAGATCATCAAGAAGGTGAAGAGATACCAGAGGACACTCTATTGAAATAGGTAGCTGAGGTCTGAGGGAACACTCAAATGGTGGAGCTACCTGTAATCTCAAAAAACGATCAGTTG